ACATTAACATATAGTGCAGTAAATCCAATATCTAATAACAAATTGCAACCACTACAAGAATGCAAACATAAAAGCGTCAACATTTTAAGTGTCAACCATGAATTATTGATGCAAATAAATTACTTATGCAAAAAGAATTTGTTGTAGAAAAATTTTTAGTGTCAACTAAAAAATATTAGTGTAAGCACTGTTGACGCAAATATGGTCAAAAGTCTGACATCATCCAGTCCATTGTAATCAACATTTTAAAAAAATTATAAAAATGGGAAAAAACTATTAGATGAATAATATCTTACTAATATGGTTTTATTTCATTATATCATATTCTTCAAACTTTAGAGTTGTTTTATTAGAGTGAGAGTCAATACCTCTTTACCATTGCATTAAAACATGTGTTGGTACAAATTATTGACGTTGCCTTCAAAACTAGATCTAAGTTTTCTTGCCTTGCATTTTGTTAAATATCTTGTTTACCATTCCTCCTTTCTCTTTCATGAAAACAATGGGGACAACAAGTTTACTTTAAAGTTCAATCACATTTATTAAAGTTTAATCTACGATTCCCTACACTATTCCGAGTCAACTCATCGTTGTCCTTACCCAGCCAAACCTCTTTAAATTTTTTGTTAAAAAAAAGTATCTTTAAATTTTGGTGCTTGCTTGGATAACAGAGCGAAACACATCACAATTAAGCAGCAAGGTCCAATGCCAAACCAAAGAAAGAAGACAAATGAAGTAATGAACGGAGGAATAAACAACCACAACTCTTGCCAAAACAGGACAAAAAAACGCCATATGAAATAAGTAAGATTCATATCCAAAAGCTGCTGCGCTATGTGAACCCACATTTTGCCCTAGCGAGCGCAATCAACTCTGTACTTTAGAAGATCTAATATAAGGGAGTTCGTTGGAGTGAGTAGATTATAAATTTTAGAATAATGGTAAATAAGATTAAATTTGATATTAAAATTTAAAATTAATTATGTGATATAAGTCAAATTATTTAAAATATTAAAATGTAAATTTTATATTATTTAAAATTTTATTTTTTTAAAAAAATAGATAATAT